CGGCAACTCACGAGAGACCCGACACTGTTAGTCCATCATTTTCTCCCTTAGTCTATAAGAACCACCCAAATTAACCAATAGGATCGCTCCATACTCCCGATGTCTTCTTTGTCTATAGCTTCGTCTACCCATTTCAAGTATCAGCCCGCAGTGCGCCCTCGCGCCTCGCCACTCTATCTCATGTCGTGTAGAGTGTGGAAAGAACGGAAATCGCCAAAATTCATCTGAAAACGTAAAATATTCAAGGATTCATGGAATTTTTGGAGGGTTTGACGTTAAAAATAATGAAATCTCCTCTCTTTTCGCTGTGGATCATATTAATTTTGAATTTGGTAGCTCGCGTCTGCTTTGACTTGATTCAAAATAGCAACATAAATGAAAATTAACTTAAAATTAATATAAATGATTTTAGATTTTATGAATGAACTACATAACCACCAAAGTATATAAGTAAACATAACAAAGAAAATAAATAAAGAACAGTTATAAAATCATACTTAATCTGTATAAAACTCAACAAGTATTAACCATGGAAGAATAACCCATTATACACTCTGTAATAATTCCCATGATAAGCTCATTGCGTAGCACACCAACTTGGTCAAGGTATGTTATTTGACGATATTTTGGTTTCTTCCGGGTTAGGCCCAAATGTTTGGTCCATACATCGAGAAGAGGGAAAAAGCGCGAATCGAAGTTGCGGAAGTGTGCGTGGAGCTGGGGGTGTAGTAGTGTTCTCTGCCGGTATGACCTATATTTATCGAGGGAGAGGGGGTTCATCGGGGGAAACGGGGGAAAAATAGCCGAGTTGTTTACCCGGTGGAATTAATTCATCTTGGTTGGTTCACCGCGAGTGCACCCCCGACCCGACCCCCGCCAGCCGCTCGCAACGCTCCCTACCGCCGTCGGATGTAACCTTTGTCTCAGACGATGATCTTTGGTGCCGGTTCCGTGACAGCCGGGGGGTTGATTACGCAGATGCCAGAATCACGCACGCCGAATTTGGCAGCTGAATGTGGAAGTCAACAGTCATCGCTCAACGGCTGAAAATTCGCAAATTCGAGTTATTTTCATCCAGGTGTGTATTAAATCTATTCGAGAAGCTCAGACAAATCAGACATTATCCGACGTTTGCTGAGACATTTGATTGACAGAGTTTGATATTTTGCGCGACACGCGCAAAATTCAGGCATCGGGCCGATGACTTCCACATTCAAGCCACTGTCAGCTCCCACATTCAGCGTGTGATTGCGGCAAGAGCCATGGGCTAGGCTATCACGCTAAGGATGAACGTCGTATGAACATTGCCAGATTTTTCCGGATAAAACAAGTATTTTTGAGAAAAGTTACTCATATTTCTAATTTTGATATTTCCAGATATTTTAGATACAAATGAGAACAAAATTGTGTACAAAAATTTGAGGAGAAATATTCACGATTTCCAAGACAATCCGGGTTTTATTGAAGTAAATCTGGCAACGTCTAAAGTCCTTATCCCGGCAGTAGGGATGAACTTCCAAAGGCGCAAATGAAGATTTGAAAGTAGAGAATCGTTCGCGCAAATGATATATCCCTTGAAACGGGAGAGAAGACTTAAAAAAAAAATGTCAGAAATCTGATTGCAATGCACAATTTTGATATCGCGACGTGCTACCATGATTTGTAGAGCAATTATTTATATCAACTTGATGTCTATGTAGTAATGACGAAGAATTCAAGGATCTATGGTCAGTAGGATCCTCGCAGTATTGCCCGCCGAAGCCGTTCCGGCGCGGTGCGTGCACGGAGGCTCAAAACGCCTTCGCTTTTGTGCGTATGCAACTCGGACATCCATGGAGTTCGAATAGTTGCATTCAGGCGTTTTAATGAAATTTGTGTACGAACTGAGGGCGTTTTGCTTGTTTCTCCTTCAACTTTGTTTAATTCCGTGCGCGTCATTCCACCGCTTTTAACGTAGTATTATGAAAATCTTAAAATTTACGAGACTCGTGTATAATTAGACAGTTAAACTTTGGAAATAAATTTCAGTGATTTATCGCACAGCAAAGAACAAATATAGCACTTGTTATTTTGAAGAACTTGAGGTTGAACTAAGATCTAACATATCTTAACTGTTGATAAACCTGTAGTAGATTTTCTTTAGTATTCCGTATTTTTCTCAGTGGAATGCCGTTTTGACCTCTGGGAATGGTGTAATCCCAAAGTTGAGCCGTTGAATTTTACTCAAGTTCGGTTTAAATTGTCCTTTTATGATACTGCGTTTTAGAGGCGTTTTTTAACCTCTCTTATTCTCAGTGTTAACCATTCTGCCGTGCTAAGAAAGAACGCCGTACGAGCCATCAGGCGTTGCCATATTTCCTTAAAAAACAACGAATTTTCAGGGGAAAAGTGAATTTTTCATCTCCGATTTTTCGGAAGATTTTGTTGGAAATCTGAAAAGTCTGTAAAAAGGAAAAACATTCATTACTGTCTTGAAAAATAGATATTTTCCGTGAGAAAAGGCTACATCGGAATGCTCTTACGGCGTTTTTCCTGAGAACGACTGCATAGTTGGCCCACGAAAGGCTAGGTTTGAGGAAGGACTTTAAAGGTCTTATAGCGCTATCGCCTCTTGAAGGAGCGGGAGCTGGGACCTCCAGAATGACATTTTGTGCGCCCCGACCGCCCCGACCGAGACCACTTGACATTTCCTCGCTTCACGAATGCGAGCCTCCCCGCCCAACCGCCACGTACATACGACACGACGCCGCTTCCTTTGTGTCCGACTGAATCGTGTCATGTGCGTATTTGCTCACGCTGAGAAAGGCAATCGCAGAGCTCGTACCATGGATTGTCTCTCTAAAATTTAAGGGCTAATCCGTACCGTTGATTGATGACGTCATCTCGCGATTAGTAGCGCGTTTTTAAGTTGGCAACTCTGTTTCTCTTCCATTTGAACAAAATTATGTAAAACAAAGGATTTTCAGCGATTTTTTAAGTAGGCAACACTGTTTTTCTTCCATTTGAACAAAATTTTGTAAAACAATGGATTTTTAGCGATTCCTCAAAGTTGTCAACACTCTTTTTCTTCCATTTGAACATAATTATGTAAAACAAAGGATTTTCAGCGATTCAGTTGGCAACACTATTTTTCTTCCATTTCAACATAATTATGGAAAACAATGGATTTTTGTCTTGCCTCACCTAAAATCGGCACTTTTAATGGATTTAAATGGAGGGAAAACATTATTGCCGGAAAAGTTTGAGCCTCTGCCTCTTTTCGGTGAAAGGAGGGTTTCTGGAGGTCTGGAAAAGCTGAAAATTCCGAGAAGGGGAAAAGCTGGGGAAAGTCGGGACATTCGTGGAAAAAGTGTACAAAAATGAAATAATCCATTGAAATTCTGCCGGCTGGAAAGTGAAATGAAAAATCATGCAAAAATCCTCACCAAAGTATCAGATTCTCTTTGATAATTTGATAATCTTTTGGTAGCTATTATTTTTTTTCTGACAAATTCCTTCAAATATTATACAATTTCATGATACGTTGCATCTCCGAGCATGGCAGGGAGAAAAGTAAGTTAACGTGTAAATTTGGGCACCACGCCCTTTCATCCCCAACCGGGGGGTGTTTATAATTTAACCGAGATGAAAATGGAACGATGATTTTCTGGCATCCGCCCGCCGCACAGTGGACGGAGGCCATCAGGGTGGTCGAACATGAAATTTTTGACTAAAATTGCAAATTTTGATGTTTATTTCGTCACATTTTAAATTTTAAGGTGTGCTTTTAGAAGAAGATTTCACAAGAAAATTGATGGAACCAAATCTGGAACCTCAAATTTTGTATAAACGGAGCTATAAGCGTTTAAAGTTTCCAAATTTTGTCCGACCGCTTTTTTTAACTCTCCCTATTGTGCGCCCTGCTCTCACGAGTCTCGTTTCCGCCTTATCGCGAGCGCTTCCGTTTTTCCGGGCGCGAGAAAAATTGAAAATAAACCATCAGATATGGTAAGTGACCCTTTTATAAAGCATAAAAAAATTCGTTCTCTCGCCCAACGCGAGGTTACGAGCGATCTCTGGATAGTTAACTCTATTGCCGCTCGCTTTATTTATTTATTTATTTTTTTTTTTACGACCCTAAAACCCATTGCGTTTGATGTAAAGAATGCTCTTTCAGGGAGCCTATGTTCGGACGGGCAACAACAACCCGCGGAAAAGCTATTTTGGAAACGCCTCGAAGGCGCACCGATTTGATGCACCAACTCGTTAAAAATGAGGTTGATACATTTTCAGGGTTGCGAGCGTCACACAGTGGGTTGAGTCAATAGAAGAGGTCGGACAAAATTTGGAAACTTTAAACGCCTAAAACTCCGTTTGTACAAACCTTTGAGGTTTTGAAGGTGGTTACGTTGGTTTCCTCCTGAAATTTTCTTCAATTTGCATCCCTTATAATTTAAAATGTGACGTAATAAACATCAAAGTTTGCAGTTTTATTCAAAACTGTAATTTTCGACTTCTCTGCTTGACTCGATCCACTGTGCGTCAGGCTGAAACTGGTAAAACCTGGAAGAGTCGGGGAATGGGCATCATAATCTCAGGGATTTTTTTATTCGAAGCGTCGCGTCGCAACAGAAAACGTTTTGTATTTTTGTGAGGTAAAATCATGTAGTCGAGGTGTTGTTCCCTTTATTTTCAGGGAATTTTCGTCCATATTTCTTGTGGCCAAGTCAGGGAAGTCAAAAAGGAGTTGAGAAATTTTAGCCATAATGGTCAGTGATTTTTTTCGGCGCTATCAGGGAAAAACGAGAGAGAGTTAGGGAATTCTGACATGCGTTTTCGGGGATATCTTGTCACTGAATCTAAGGAATTCCAGGAAATAAGCAGGAATTGTTGATATTTGTGATCCGGGGATTTTCATCATTTTTTACGATTTAATTCTGATTTTTCCCCGCGACAATTGTTGCTGCTCTAACCTCATCATAACTAGAGTATACTAATATACTTGCTTTGTTGTGTTGCAGATTGACTATCCAGAAGTTGCAGGGGCTCGGACTGGATCCAACACCCGCGTCCCGGCCGTCATGGACCGGGGCGTCAGCTTAGTCTTCGATGAAACCGTAAGTATCATCATATAATTCGTTTAAAAAGAAAAAGAAAAAAAGGAGATTTGCAAAATTGATCCCAAGGTTGCGAAATTAATTCAATTTTCCACAGAAACTCGATAAAAAATCACGTTGACTCGTTACGTCACGCTTCGCTCTACACCCCCTGTAACGCAACGTAGAACCGGCCAAGAGCTTCACCCCCTTGGAGCGTTACGCAATTTAGGGACGGCTCCTTTTGCCGGAAAATTCGTGTGTTATCGAAGGATTTTCGGTAAAGTCCCAAGGCGAGGGTTGCCAGTCAGGGAATATCAGGAAATGTCAAGGAATTTTAAAAATTCAGGGAAAATTTGTGCGATCACCCTTATTTGCTACCTGGAAGGGGTTTAAGGTCTCGAATAATAAATTTTGCCCGAAAAATATTTTCAATTATATCTTTTTAACCACCTGCCATTTCTCGAATTGTCAGGGAAGTTCACCAAAAAGCGTCAGGGAAATCAGGGAAATGTCAGGGAATTTCATTTTCGAAATTCTGTGGCGACCCTGAAAGGCTCATGCGGTGCTCTTCCTTTGCACGTTAGACTTTTCCTTGGAACCGGGAGTTCTTCGAGAAGCTCCCGGCAACAGGAGCCCGCTTAATCATCATCATCATCATCATCATCCCCCCCCCCCCCCCCCCCCCCCCC